TAAGGTATGAAACAACGTACAAGTGAGCAAAATGTTATGTCTAGTACACTTTGGTTTATGTAAAATATAAAGAACCTACATATATGTATGATGATGTATGTGTGTGTGTGTAACGATGCTTACAAAGCTTTCATTTATTTTTTATTTATTTGCTCACAAAGCTTCTTGAAGGAGTCCCCAGCTGCCACTGCCGACGATACCCATTGTGAGAAACCAAATGCCCACATCAAAGATTCTGTCTCCAGTCCTTTGATGCCAGAAAGGTGCTGAGCTCTGTGTCAAAGGTGAGATAAAAAGCCCTCCCACCAGTCTTATGCTATACATTGTCACCTGGACCTTGAAGCAATACGTCTATATCCAGAGCCCTACAGAATCCATCATTCATCTAAGCTGACCCCAGACACCGGGTATGGTACCATCTTCCTATCTCCAACTTTTCCAAAGCTCAGCTACTAACTTCATTTGGAGAAAATGAATACACACAAAATATGTGCACAAGAGTAAGAAACTATTTCTGTATTGGTAAATTTAGAAATTATCTAAAGGGCATAGTATTCAGAGATACAGCTTTGGCTAGAACATAAACACCTTTCAACACTGTCACACAGAGCAGTTTAGTTACTGAGAGCCATAGCTCTCAAACATACACTTTTCTCATTATGGGCAAAGCTCTGTAATTATAAAACCAACTACCCCAGTCCTGCGGTTTCCCTAAGAAAAGAACTCTTTCTGCTAATGGTGTCTTCAATTCTCCAGCTCAAACTTTGAAATGACAGGTTGGTTTTGTCCTCACCTTCTACCTTTGCCATTCAGCTCTAAACTCTTAGACTGAAGGGTCAAGTTTCAGTCAGAACTTATATCCTAGGTATTTAGGTTGGGAAACGGTATATTAGCTTTACCATCCAGTCATCTAAAATTTATTCATTAATTCATTAAGTAACATTTTGAGTACCTGTTTTGCATGAACCATATACGCTCACTACTGCGTTCCCCTGGATATATTTCCATTTACAGAATATCACTATGAAATGTGGGAAATCATGAAGAATTCTCTTCCTGACAATTCCATGAACATTCTGTTTGGCTTATTTTTCATGACCATGGGATTTTTTTCTGAATTTGGGACAGAAATCAATGCAAAGGTGCTGTATGTCTAGTACGTTACTGTTCTGTAAGAGGAAAAGACTATACATAAGCATGTGCTCATATAGACATGAAATACGTCTGAAAGGAATAGTGTTAGTGATGCTGCTGAGGAGATAAAGTAGATAGCTTAGTGAAAAGGTAACATCCTATGTGATAAGAAAAAAACAAAGTAAAATCCTGTTTCTGCCCTTGAAGCCTGAAGAAGCAAATACTAAAAAGCAAGTACATGCTTATCACTGTATGTTCTACACTTTTTCAATCTCTAACTATGTCCAAGTATGGAGCATTCAAAAAATCATAAACATTGCATAACACAGACATAATCTCAGTAAGTTTAGAATTAACTTTTGAATAAAAAAAATTCTGAGGTCATCTCTTTCTTGACATAGCGATTCTTAGATTTTTCTTTTCTCTCCTATCAGTAACAAGTCCTATCTCCCACCCACCAGACAAATTACCAACTCCTCACTTACTGTAATTAACTGAGTGTATTACTTTCCTATTGCCAATGTAAAAAGTTACCACAATGTCTCAAAACAACACAAATTTATTACCTTATGGTTCTAGAGGTCAGAAGTCTGGCAGGCTAAAATAAAAAGGTAACAGATTTGCAATTCTTTCTTGAGGTTCTAGGGGAAGAATCCATTTCTTTGTCCTTTCCACTTCTAGAAGGTGCCCACAATTATAGGCTTGTGACCCGTTATAATCTGTAAAGCCTACAATGGTGTCAGTCAAAATTTTTTCATATTTCATGACTCTAATGCTGACACTTTTGACTCCCAATACCACTTCTAAAGAACCTTTATGATTACATTGGGCCCAGCCAAATAATTCAGGATTATCTCCTAATTTTAAGGTCAGCTCATTAGGAAAATTGATTCCAGGAGCACCTGGATGTTCTGTCACTTAAGTGTCTGCCTGCGGCTCAGGTCATGGATCAGGGGGTCTTGGGATCGAACCCTGCATCAGGCTCCCTGCTCAGTGGGGATCTTGCTTCTCCCTCTCTCCCCTGATTATGCACTATCTTTCACTCTCTCTCTCTCAAATAAATAAATAAAATATTTTTTAAAAAAATCTTGATTCCATCTGCAACCTTGATTCCCTGTGCCATGTAACAACATATGCACAGGCTCTAAAATTAGGACACAGACATCTTTGGGTGGCCACTATTTTGCCTACCACAGTAAACAGTAAATAGGCTACATAGCTAGCTAGCTAGATACCTACATACATACATTAATACATACATACGGTTTCTGAAGAGATATAGCCTCTTCCATGTGATGACTTTTAAGTTATAAAATGTAACAAAGTCCTTGTCTGAAACAGGTGCTGTTGGAGTCCTCTGGCACTGTTGGGAGCCATTCCAAGACAAATGAGGAAGTAGCTGAGATAGTCTATTAATACATGCTCTGCAACCTGACTTCCTGGTTTCAAATCTCAGGTCTACCAGTTAGATAGTGTGACTTGCACCTCAGTTTCCTCATTCATAGAATGAAGTCAGTATTAGTACCTCTATCATAGGATTGCTGTAAGGCTTATACAAGTTGCTACCATTTAGAACAGTGTCAGCACATGATAAGTACTCCGTATGCTACTTAGTTTGACTTGATTCACACTTCCATGACTCAGAGTACTCACAAAGGAATCCCTGCCAAGACCCAGAAACGTTCAGCCCTAGAGCGAAAATCCTGTCTCTGTCCTAGGAGTATTGAGAAGAAAATATTGATGGTGTTTTGGGGCTTCTGGGTGGCTCAGCAATTGAGCCTTCAGCTCAAATCATGATCCCAGGGTCCTGGAATGGAGCCCCACATGGGGTTCCCTCCTCCACAGAAAGCCTGTTCTCCCTCTTCTACTCCCCCTGCTTGTGTTCCCTCTCTTGTTATCTCTGTCAAAAAAAAAGAAAAGAAAAAGAAAATATTGACAGTGTTTTAAAATCCACCTTGCCATCTAGGTTTTCCCTTTTTCCTTTTGATTTTAAAAAGGAGAGTTAAAAAAACAGCCTGTCCAGTAGAATATCAGGTCAGACCCTGGTGAGCCTACTGGCTTCTACTACAGGTTACATGGATTGAGCTAGATAGTCTTTGCCCTTAAGGAAATTGCCACATAATGGGTAGGCAGAACAAACAAAGATAGAACATAATTAAGCAAATTTAACAAAAAGTTAATTTCTATTGCCCCAGATAAGCTGAATCTAATAAAGTAAAGGGAGTGGCTCTCCATTTTGTTCTGTTTGGCCCCCAATGTCCCAAATCTAAAAGGTCTGTATAGCAATTCTCATTGCTAACACCAAAGAAACAGAATGCAAGTGTCAGTCAAAGTACCTACTTTTTTTAAAATTTTATTTATTTATTTGAGAAAGAGAAAGTGAGAGAGAGCATGAGAGGGGAGAAGGTCAGACGGAGAAGCAGACCCATTGAGCTGGGAGCCCAATGCGGGATTCGATCCCGGAACTCCAGGATCATGACCTGAGCCGAAGGCAGTTGCTTAACCAACTGAGACACCCAGGCATCCCAAAGTACCTACTTTAAACTGTAACCACACAATTGGACCAAACTATCTTTCATCAGTCCCTCAGTAAATTTTTCCTCTAGTTTCTAGGGACTGTTTCCAGGAAATCGCTAAAAAGATAGCTAATTCATCCCTCTGGATTCATTATGCTAAAGGATTATCAAATGCACAAAGCTCAAAGACAATTGCAAGAGCCCATGGTATCTTAGTTCGACAACTAAGCACTCTTTAAAACATAAAGATTACACTGAAAACCGTTTGGAGTTTTACTATTAGAATGTTGTAACAGCCTATCCTCATTCCTGCAAAATTACTGCCAAATTGGAATCAGTAAATCTCTCTTTATCCTCCTTTCAAGTACTTTGGCAGTCACTCCAGCATATAATTTAAAGTACTAAGAAAACTGATAATACCTGAATGTCAACACCATGGAAGGGGAGAGCATATTTGGTGTTCTGTACTTCATCATGATTGCCAAATGAAATTCAATTTTATACTGTCAAATACAGTGATTTCTTTCAATGTGATAAGCTATGTTAACTAATGATCTAAGGAGATATTAAATATTGCCTGCTAAGTATACTACTATAATCTGATTAAATCCAGTCTTCAGCCAATCCATAATTTTCATTACCCCTATGAAAATGTTCTGGACTAGGATCTTTTAAGTTTCCTGTAAGCAAAATGAAATTTCCTTTGAGGTGAACAATGTAGCCTGAATCTATGAAATAAATGTTTGGTAAAATTTGTCTATAGCTCCCATCTACAAATATCAAAATTATAAAGCATATTAGTTGGTAATATCACATTTATTGGCATTTATGTTATATCAGCTTATAAGCACCTTTTTTGAAAGTTTTTATTTATTTTTATTATTACTTTTAAGTAAGCTCCACCCCCAGAGTGCAGCTCGATGCGGGGCTTGAACTCGTGACACTGAGATCAAGACCTGATCTGAGATCAAGGGTCTGTTGCTTAACCAACTGAGCCACCCAGGTGCCCCAAATTACAAGCACTTTTAAGTGAAAAACACTTTTCCTCTTTGCTCAGAAGTTGTCCAACTCTCCTGGTTCAGTGAGGAGAGAAGCAAAGCTTTATCAAAGAGGTTAAGAGTCTAAACCAAATGGGATACTGTGTAATCACAGCAGAAGCCTCATTCTGACTGTTTTGTTTTGTTTTGCAGGGTGGGGTGGTGGGGTGGGGTCAACTTATTTGGTCAAAGGGAGTTTTTGATTAAGTTAAAAAATTTTTTTAAATAACACCTGAATCTCTGCGTTCATTCAAGAAACATTAAACATCACCACTAAGCATTAGATACTATTCTAAGAACTAGGGATACGTACCTGAGGGACATAGCCAAAGAGAGGCATTATCAGGATTCCAAACATCAGGCAATGGCTAAAAGTGGGTGCTTGAGAGCAGCCGAAATGTCTGCTGAAGAAAAAAAGTGCCATATTCCAGGCGTAGGGCCCAGCCAACTAATTTTTTAAAAGACAGAATGATGGTTCAAAGAACTGCTGTTAAAAATAATTACAAATTAATAAAAAAAATTTCTGAAAACAAGGAGAAGATGCACAGCAGACCAGACAAGCTCAAGAAGAAAGTGGTCAGCAAATAAAAAATAAAGAATGATCGGGTGCAAAGAAACCCAGAGCAGAAACTTCTGGTGATGAATGAGACTCTCTGGAAAACTACATCTGATGACTCGGAGTGTATCAGTCTCATCTGACTGTGTTTATAAAAAGGAAAAAAATGATGAACTTGGGATCGTTTCCCCTCATATTGCAATCAATAGAAACTTCCTTTTTGCAATGAGACTTTAAACAATTAGGGAAACATTTTGGTTTCCAGCTAATGGGTTTAATAGTGATTGCCATTTCAGGAAAAGCACTTCATCCAATTGTAGACATGCCAAAGGTGGAAGAGAGGGGAGCAGAAGCAGCATAAACTGTACTAAAGGCCCTCACAGCTGGCTTTGAGTCACTGAGAAAATAATATCCTTCCTCTAATAATCCCTTAAAGACTTGGGTTTGCTTTCGTTTGGGAGGAGAATGTGCCCGCGTAAGAACAACTGTTGTTTCAGCACTTGAGCATCAGGGAGCTAGATGTTCTATTTATTGTACCAATGCCAGGCATTCCTAAGTAATATGTGAGCTGACCTTGAGAAAATACACATAGAGTGGAGGTTCAAATACAGAGAGACCAGTTTCTAGTTAATGGTGGTGTCAAACCTCCCACATTTTTTCCTTCTGTTCATCATCCTAGGGTCTCTAAATATTTTCTTGTTCCCTCGCTCTTCACCGGGGACCAAAGCTGGGCAGAGAAAGGACACATACCAGAGAAAGGCCATAGACATCTTGAGCACCATAAGTAATCTGTAAGTTTGGAGCCTGCTTTTCCGGAATTAACCACCGCATTTGCCTCCACCAGCACCATATTGTTCTAAATGTATTGAATTTATGATCTTGCTTTATGTAGGCATCAATATTAAAGTCAACCTACAAACACAGGTATATAAAAATTTGCCATAAATACTGATGTTAATATGATATAGGAGGATGATAATTAAGATTGGATTCAATATAATGGATTTATATTCATGAATTAAACATAATTGGCATTGAACCAATAAAGCCTACTCATGCATTATGTTTTCACTAAGCTAATTTCTTGTTTAGTTCCTTAACAAAATATCCAAGTGTCCTCTCAATTTTGTGTTATTGGATTATGCCATTTGCTGCACAAACAAACGGTACTTTTAATTAGTGTAAGAACTCCTGTAGTGTGAAATTGAAAGTTTTGAAAAGCAACATGTAATACACAATTCCCCTTTAGGATATTCTATCAAGTAGGAATAGTTTCAGCTGCAAGTAATAGAAAACTTGACTAGTGGTCTTAAACCAAAGGGACATTACTTAACAAAAAGACCAGAGAAAAGCCATCCCAATGTTGAATCAGTGGCTCAATGATGTCACCAAGTATGCAGGCTCCTTCAAATTTTCTGTTCAACCATCCTTGGTATGCGTTCAGTATTTTTCTTCAAGGTATAACTCTCAAAGCATCTTGTTCACATATAACATCAAAGAACAGTAGGATTTTCCTGGGGCACCTGGGTGGCTCAGTCGTTAAGTGTCTGCCTTCAGCTCAGGTCATGATCCCAGGGTTCTGGGATTGAGCACCGCACTGGCCTCCCTGCTCAGTGGGAGGCCTACTTCTCCCTCTCCCACTACTGCTTGTGTTTTTCTCTCTCTCTGTCTCTCTTTCTGTGTCAAATAAATACATAAAATCTTTAGAAAAATTACAGTAGGACTTCCCCAATTTCCTAATGTATTACTTAAAGATTATTTTCCAGAACAGGTTCGTGTGCCCACTCAAACAAGTCACTGGCAAGGAACAACAAGACTCTCATTACTACTTTACACCAAATGTGACTTACACCCAGGAGCTTGGTACATTGGCATGGCAGGTAAGCGACCAAGGGAGTTCACCCCATATATGGCCCCTCTGAAGCCAAGAATTTAATGCAGGTCCTTCTATGCAACTAAATGGTGATATTCTAACTCTTGCACACTAGAATCAAAGCTGAAAAGATGCTTACTGTCTTGGGCATTGGAGTGTCCCCAATGATTTATCTCCAAGTCAGGAGGTCCTCTCTTCTGCATGGAGAGGCAACAGCTCTAATGTCAACAGTAGGAAACAAATGCTACTGTCTCCCATCCCCAGCTAGGATTTGACAAGGATGAAACAAAGAGACAAGGAGTGAAGAGCATCTTCATTTTTGCAGATGGAAATGGAAAAAATTATGAAATCTTAGGTCTAAAACTTTCAGCAAGAACCCAAGATAACATTTTCTTCTACTAACTGGGAAGACTACAGGAACTTTGAAGTAAGGATCAGAACACTGCTTCAACTCTGCAATCAAAGAGCTTAGGAATGACATCTACCCTCATCACCATGGGTCAAATTTCTGGGTTAAACAATACTGTTTAACTACTAAATATACGTATATTGCAAAGTAATTCAAAATTTATGCCAGAGCATAAATCTGGCATTTTGGCCTATTAAGAAAGAGCTTTCTAGATTTGTCATCAGAATGTACTAAAGGGAAAGAAAACAAAATATGAAATTAAAGCCACAATCAGCTTAAGTGGAAACAATACTATCTGTTCATGATTGCCATTCCCATCATCAGCTGAATTAGCAAAATCCCGGACCGCATGACTCCAAGCTTCAAATGACTTAGGACTGATAGTAATGTTGTGTAATGGAAGGAAGACAGGTGGTTCACCAAGGCAGCCAGTGGTGAGCCTTTAGAAAAGCTGCTTCAACTTTATGGGTCTTGATTTCCTTATCTATAAAATTATAAAAACAAAGTCCACGCTACAGGGTTGGAATGGGACCAAGTCAAATAAAGGGTGCTTGTTTATTATCATATTGATATATCAGGTTAAGTTCCTTTTATTTATTTTTTAGTTTTTAGTTTCTTGAGAGGGAGAGAATTTTAAGCAGGCTCTATGCCCAGACAGGAGCCCTACCTGGGGCTCAGTCTCATCACCCTAAAATCATGAGATGAACAGAAATCAAGAGTTGGAAGCTTAACTGACTGAACCACCTAGGCAACTCCAGGTTACATTCTTTTTAGGAACATCTTAAATATATGGGACACTAAAGAAAACAAATATGTGGTGGGGGGGAAAGCCAAGAAAAGAATCCTCGTGCGATGCACTGTTCTGCCAATTTATTTTTTCCAGCGCAGTGGTTTTTATCCAGACAGTCATAGTGTCCCATAGGACCTGTTAGCTACAAATTACAGATATTTCATATATGTCAAGAAACTGAAGAATGAAAATGAGATGAAATCCCAATGCAAGTCTATATGCCAAATGTGATTAGAAAAATTTTGACATTAAAGCCTGATAGTCAAAATAAATCTCTGAAGTTTAAGCATACGCTTAAGGAATTTACATATTAAGCCATTTGGCATTTCATTTTCTTGTCCTTTTCACACATCAACTGGGATATAATTGACACATTGTAGGGAAAAAAAAATGAACAAACACTCTTGCCATTTGCTATGTCTCTGTTATTTTCTAACTTTGTCTTTATCTGAGTTATCTCTGTAACACACACACACACACACACACACACACACACACACACGCGGACTACGGAGGCAGGCATTCATTTACAAAGAGAGGCCAGAGGGCATCTGGATGGCTCTGACTGTACAGCGTGCTACTCTTGGTCTTGGAGTTGTAGTTGCAAGGTCCGCATTTGGTGTGGAGATTACTTTAAAAAAGTAGAGAGAGAGAAGGCCAGGAAGCCAGATCACACTAAGAGAGGTGAGTTGCAAAGTAATTCATCAACAGTTCCCTCTCCGGCTGTAAATTCCTCTAGGATGTATGGGTACGTGTGTTTAGGCAATATGCTCTCATTTTCCTACTTTCCTCCTTAAGTGCTACCTCAAGGGTTTATTTTAGTCTGCAAGAGATTAGGCAGATAGGGAGGGAAGATAATTTCCAATATAAGATGCCAGTTCCTTATATCCATAGGTTATCCTCCTAGTGCCACCATTGCTGAACACTGTCTCCGCTTTATTTCTCTGGTTGGGAATTTACATACCACATTCCTCCCCTTCTCAAAACTGAAAGGTCTTCTCTAAGCTACTAGTTCACTTATTATCTGCAACTGATCCTTAACAGACATTTTCAGAATCAAATTTTCATTTTCTCCCATTTTTAATGATAAACCACGTACAGTTATACTATTTTGACTTTGTTTCTCAACTTCCTGCTTTTTCCCTGATTAGAGGCATGAGTTCCTTAATGAAGTTCGTTTTCTCATTCTCATTCTTAAACACTACGTGTACTTGTGGTGATATCTCTTCCCTTGTTGACTTCAAATTAGATTTTTTTTAATTAGGCAGGCACCCCTAATTAGGCAGGTACATATCTATACCCTTGAGAACAGATGGGTGCCAAAGTCTGCAATGTACACAAAAAAAATTTCAAGAGACAGTTATTATATATATTTTCTTAGGATCCCAAAAATTGATATTAAGAAGGCATTAGGTTCAACTGCTTTATAGAACACCCACCCCAATTTATAACATGTTAGAGTAAATGGGGAAATTCAAAAGATATATTTACAGAGCATATATATATACAAGATAATGTAAATCATCCACAAAAGACAATGATCCTAAATTATGGATGATTTTACTTTTTTAAATAGTCACACCCTTCAAGTGATGGTTTTCCACTGAGAAGAAATGTAAAGAGAAGAAAATGCATCTCTTTCTTTCTTCCTCTCTTTCTTTTTTTTTTCATTTAGAGAAAATAAGGAAGCAAAGAAGTTTGTCCACAGATTGAATCTCTTCAGGCAATTCTGTTTAAAGGTAATGAGATTGTTTCAGATGCTCCTGAGAAGAAAGA